GACCGACGAACTGTCAGTACTTCCGAGATGCCTACAAACGATCGGGATTCGGGGGCTCGTCTACATGCATCGCTCCCACATACGAGGCTCCAACATATCTCTTGCTGCGCTGGGCTCTCCCTTGGCAACTAGGTATCGATCAAGCGTTAGGCTGCAGTACTTAGTGCTTAGCTGTCAAGGTCACTCAGGCCGCATATTTCATCAAGGCAGCTTATCTCTGAGACATCTTTTCACATATCTCTTCAAATCATATCAATAGCTGCTTCGATGGGCGTTTCCTGCAGCGGTGCCTTGGGGTCTGAAGCACGCATCACAAGCACCGCATCCTGTGGCACCGTGTTCGTTCACACGCTTTCGCGGTCCGATTGTATAATTTTGCAAATCTTCAAATGAATCCGTCCTTGCTCAGCATCTCGAGCCCTCCTTTGTGCAATAGATCTTTAGCTTCTAAATGTTCTCCTTCGCCGAGGCCCAATTGTCGATATCAAATTCTGAACTCAGGCCTGCGGACCGAGGACCCAGGAATTCTTACTCTGGTCCCTAGGCCTACCACTGAGAACTCCCTGGGTGAGTTTGGAGACACAACTTACCAGAGCCCCTCGAACTTGGCGGGGCCTATGGCGACCGTAACTAGGGCTAGATTCGTACTTTTCTATCACATCCAAGTGAGAAATTCCACACGGAAAAGGCTTTTTCGTAATTCTTGCATCCCGCTTGGCAAAATGCTGTTCTTCACCAAAAAAGACAGCTGCGATTGGGAGCGCCATGCTCTGCTCTATGGTGTCCCACCATCGTCCACCTAGGTTGTGGAGCCCTTGGCTAGGGACGCAAATTACATACTGGGAACGTTCGTGGTGTTGAGTGTAAAGACGCCGTCGGCACCCGAGTCAGGTAACCGGTCAATGGACTTCAAGAGGACCAGCCCGTAACGCAAATCCCACTAGTAGTCGCTTCTCCCAAACACACTCGAACACCTTCTATTGGAGGATTGAGACTCTATGGGCCTCGGGGCATCGGACCTCCAACAATTGGACTAAATGGACAAGGGCTTTTACCGTGTGCAATCCGGCGCGAGGTGATGGACCAGAGTACTTAGTACTCATCTCCTGGTCTTACGAAGTGAAGCATGCGTCACCCATGGCATTCAGGTTGAGTTGGATCTAGAATCAGGGTACTTTCAGCTCCGCACCGATCGCTTTGCATATAAGGCGCTATATCTTCGAAGAAAGGCCATCATCGGTGTCACTTGCCTCAACTTTTATCCGCACAATGGCCTCTATCCTCTCCGACTTCAAGTACCACTTCAAGGGCGCCGTTACCCAAGAGGGCGATCCCGAGTACAGCATCAAGCGATGGGCGAGGAACGCAGAGCGCAAGGTCCTGCCCCATCGCGTCAACCACCTTTTGATACATCGTACTTACATATTCCCGTACTTCTCGTTAGGCCAAGTTCGTCGTCTTCCCGACTGATGCGCAGGACGTTTCAAGGGCCATCCTCTTCGCCCGGTCGCAAAACCTGGAGATTGCTATCCGCGGTGGCGGCCACTCGACTTCTGGCGCCTCGTCCACCGAGGGCGGCCTTGTTATCGATATGAGCAAGCACATGAACAAAGTTCGGATTGACCCCGAGTACAAGCGCGCCTATGTGCAGGGTGGTGCTATCTTCGAAACGCTGGATAGGGAATCCATCAAGCATGGTATGTCTTGTAATATGGTTGCCGACAAAGCTGCTAATTCACTGCTTAATTAGGACTTGCCGGTACGGCTGGAACCGTGAACCACACCGGTTTCGGAGGGTGCGTCCATTGCTGCTACGAGCGAAATCTGGATCAGAATTATTGACATTCTATTTCTCAGACTGACAACTGGTGGAGGTTACGGATGGCTTTCGGGTCTCCACGGCCTCGCCGTCGACAACCTCGTGGCTGTGAGTGCCAACGTTCCCAAATATCACCCTCGCTCTGCTCACAAGCATTTCGGTAGGCTACGGTCGTGACTGCAAATGGAGATATCCTCAAAGCGAGCGACTCAGAAAACCCCGACCTTTTCTGGGGCATTCGAGGTCCGTTCTCCGATTGATTATGCATTATTACCACTAGCTGACGTGGTGCTGTCTAGGTGGTGGTGTCAACTTTGGCCCAGTGACGGAATTCGTGTTCAAGCTGTATGACCAGCGACCAGATGTCTTCATCAGCAGTGAGCACAAATATTAGCTGCATGGGTAATCCTGCAACTCACACACAGCTTTCTCCTTTTCACAAAGCCTTGGTCTACCCCGAATCGCTCCTTCCAAAGGTTTTGGACAGTGTCAATGACTGGCTCAAAGTTCGCCATCCCCGGGAGTCCGCGTTCCTGGTCTATGGTCTTGGGCCCAACGCTGAGGTAGGCTTTCGCGCGTTATCTATACGCTCAAGTACTAATACTCTTATGCGCGTAGCCCTGCGTTATTTTCCTATTTGTGTTCAATGGGCCCGAGGATGAGGGTCGTGAGGCGATTAAAAACCTCGTAGCACTCGGTACAGTCTTTCCCTTGAACCTACTACCTGGAGTCCTTTTTTAATCGAAGATACACATAGGCCCCATTGTGAATGACGGAGCTAGCGTGCCATACGTCGAGATGAATGCCATGCAGGTCAGTATCTTCACCCTTTACTGCTAACGAAGAAGCTATATTAATAATATCTTCGCCTCTAGAACCCTCGTGCGTACCATGGAACCAACCGACTCCTGAAGGGTATCCTCGTTCCCAACCTCGAGCCGGCTTTGATGACGCGGGCCTGGCACGGATGGAAGAAGATCATCGCCGAGAATCCATCGGCTAGCGAGACCATCATGATGCTTGAGCTGTATCACCCCGACAAGATCCTTTCCGTCCCCATCGATGCTATGGCATTCGTGGCCCGGGTAACGGTACGTTCTCCTAAAACCTATTCAATCTGAGCACATATTCATTCGATATCCATCTTCACCTAGTCCTATTCGCTGATGGTCAGCTTGACATGGAGCGACGACTCATTGGACGCGCGCGCACTCTCGCACGAGCTCTTCCGCGCTATCGACGTGAAGGGCGTTGGCAGCTACGGCAACTACGATGATGTTGGCGCGGCCATCGGCGGAGATAGGACCAGGGCCATGTTCGGCTCCAATTACGACAAGCTGAGAATCATCAAGAAAAAGTACGACCCCGAGATGGTCTTCCACAAGTGGTTCCCCATCACCCCTGCTCCTTAAGTATTCAAATCAGCTCGCCCTCTATTCAGAGATGGATCTTTTCACCACTCATCGCACTCCATGTTTATATATGTATTTTTCTTTGGGTATTATTCAGAAGAAGAAAAAAATCAGTTGATTGTTACCTTTGTTGGATGAACAACTTGATGCGAAGCCAAGGCATCTGGGGGCGTAACAGCACAATTCCGAGGGTTTCTGCGCTGGAGTGAAGCTGGGCAGCGCGTATTCCTACAGCCATGGTGCTCAAAATCCGGTGACGGCGGGCACAAGGAAAAGTCTTTTAGTGTTATAAAGCGGAGATGTGCTATAACAATGAAGCCTTAGGCATCGGTGCACTCATACTAAAAGTCCTCGAAACGCGTCGTGAATGTACGTGTAAAAGTTGACGCAGCCAACGAAAGTGCAGACGGACACGTCTCACGAGAATATCTTTTATTACTCAAGCGCGCCCCAATTTCCAAGCAGGCTTGCGGAAAATGGGTGATGCGAAGAAGGGGGTCGCTCGATACGAAGTTGGCGGAAGGAAGTGGCAGCGTGCGGGAAAGATTAATGCTATACGAAGTGCGGAAAACGGTTCGATCGAGTGACATGCCACATAAAGTCATCTACGGTTGGCTCTCCTCTACTTTCTCTCCCGTCTTCCCATCTGCACCCGAACTGCTCGACGAAGGCTGCAGTAGCGGTGCGCCCGACGCAATCATATCCTTCACCGCCTTCTCCACCAAGCCCTCCCTCTCCGCCCGCCTTAGCGATGCGCTTCGGGCGATCTTCCTCCTGTTTGTTCCCTCCGTCCCACGCTTACTCCAACCCTCGCGCATGTTCATCCTCTCGCCCAACTGTACCCTCCTCATCTCCTTGACCTGATCCAGGTAGAACATGTCGTTCAACGACGTCTCCCTGTCCTCCCTCTGCTTCTTGTCCAGATCCTCGTACAAGTCGGGGTGGTAAAATGGCTTGACGAGGCCAACGACGGCCCGTTTGTACGTTCGGGATGTGTCGTTGCGAGCTTTGTGTGCGGAGAGGGGAAGGCGGCGGACGGGGGAGATGTAGTTGTCCGTGCGAATGTACGTGGTTGCAACGCCGTATACGGCGGAGAGATAAGAACGAATATCCATTTTGGTCAAGGAAGGGGGAACGCGGAAGGTCGCTTCGTAGGGATTATACGCCTTCCCTGTGGGTGTCGCGTTCCGCATCATACGGAATATGATATTGGGGAGGTAAATCCGCTGCCCGACGACCTTGTCGATGTACTTGCCATCCGGCGTTAGGATGCGACGTACACCGCGCAAGGGTATATTCTTCTGGTTGGGTTTCGGCCGCCCCATGTCATCGGTACGCGTCGCTCCGTTCATTTTGAGCGCGTGTCGCAGCTTCGTCTTTTGGGAGGCGGTCAAGCCATTCGGGTCGGGCGTTTGGACCTTTTCTTTTAGACGAAGAGGACGAGAAGCGTCTCGAGCCTCCTTGATCAGTGTTTCTCTCCCGGGAAATTCAGAGAAAAAGCGTCGGAATAAACGTGACATGGCAGCCGCTTGAGAGTGGATGGTCGAAGTTGTGGGCACGTCGCGTCGAACGAACGCGAGAAAGCCAAATTTGTCTTTGCTTCCGGCTCCAGCACTGCAAGAGTAAGCAATTTTCGGGCACAAGCACAAAGAGATAACAATATTGGCGATTTAGCACAAGTGGGAGAGACCTATTTCTGCGAGAAAAAAAGAGAGAGAGAGAAAATACATGGAGCCAATTGCCGGGGAAATAGAAAAAGAAAAAAATATCTCTCTGCCTGGGAGTCGAACCCAGCTCTCAACCGACCATCCAATGACAGGGTTGTGTTCTACCGATATACCAGCAGAGACTGTGGGGGAAGGCGCCGCACTGTCCACCTTGACCCTGAGCAGGGTAAGCAAAACAATGCATCACGTGACTCTCGTTATGGCAGTTCAATGTCCGCTCCAGCTCCGCGCCCATTATATGCTTCCGTGGGTACACCACTGGCCTTCCATCTCTCCTCCAGCAGTCGTCCATGGCTGCCGTCCACGACCCCGACGACGTCTTCACCGCGGGCTGGTCCTATCCCTCCCCGCCCTCCTCGCCGTCCACCCCCTTTCTCTCGTCGTCATCGGATGACTCCCCACCGAGCTCGCCAACGTTGAGCCCAATCCAATCTCCGTGCTCTCCGGCCACTCGCGATCCATTCTCGGCTAGCTATAAAGCTACCCAAAGTCCCCCTCGGTATGCCAAAAAGGCACCTGTCTTGCAGACACCCCCTCAGTCTCCGCTCTTTGTGCGCCAGCGCCGAGTGACGACAAGAGACTTTCTACCTGCCAGCCCATCGAGCCCAATGGCCAGGATGGTTACCAGATACCCGCCGTCACCTCCCGAAAAGACTATATGGGACGACGCACTCACCAACGCCATTGACAGCGCCGAAGGGAGTATCGACCTCGCGCATGTATTCATGTTTGCTTTACTTCTCCACGCTTATTAAACGAACCTCCTCATACAGCCATCGCGGTCTTGAATACATCCCTTCCAGCATCTCCGATTTATCCAAGCTAGTGTTTCTCTTTAAGAGTCCCCCCAGTTTGCCCGCGCATATCTCCGGCCGCCAGTTCTCCCGCGCCGTTTCTGCGCCCGCAGCTTTTGCGTCCACTCCTCGTGCTTTTGACCGAGCCAAGACTGCGACGGCTGGCCTCGCCTTTGGTCGCAGCAAGAAGGAGCGCCCCGGTATACAGCTATATCTGGCGGGCAACAGAATATCCAAACTCCCTGGCGAGCTATTCGAGCTGCGAAATCTCACAGTTCTGAGTTTAAGTAAGTCCCCCACAGCGTCATAGTCCACTCTTCCTTGCTTGCTGAATTCATGGTTCATCTCTAGGGTCAAATAATCTTACTCATCTCCCATCCTCCATTCATCTCCTTGCGTCGCTGCGTGAGCTTAATCTGGCAAATAACAAGCTCACCTATCTCCCCGCGGACATACTTTCGCTCTCCCTCACATCGCTCGCCGTTCATCCAAACCCTTTCATTCCCGCTCCAGCACCCAAGTCCTCCACACCACTACATCATCGGCTTCTGTCTCCCCTCAATACCCTCCTCCCGCGTGTATTACCACTCTCTGAGCTCGCATTTCGCTCACTGCTTTCATCATACCCAACCGCCTCGATAGCTCCACTCGATGACGACTCTCCACCACTGCCTCCCCATATTCATGATGTCCTCGCAGCATCGCTTCCAGCTTTGTTCACTCCCAAAACATCGCGGGACCACGAACACAGCACAAATGATGCGTCGCTCAACGCACAACACTCCGCATGCCCCGCACCCATGCACGTTCACGCCGGCCGCCAGATGTTCGTGCGACACGCGGAGGAGAGGTACGAGTGGCGGAGCGAGATCGCGGGTGTTTGCGTATCTGGCTTGGTCCCTGTGTTATGGCGCGGTTGCAGCGGAGGCTGTCTGGCTTTCTTGGAAGACAGCGTTGAGGATGGAGGGGACGGGTTTTTCGACGGCGATGATTCATTTGAGCTGAATCCATAAGGAAACAAGACTCGTGGACCTATATACAATTTCCCCTTTCGTTCGCCCTAGGCCTGTGATGCATGCATGATCCCTAATCAAACATTGCAATAACCATTTTACGCATTATGTATGGCCTGTTCTTGTGCGAAAATCCACATGCGCAGAAAATGGCAATACCCGCTAAAACTGTCTGGACAGCGAATGAAAGATGGCGCGTTGTGGCGTCGATTCTCTAACAAGTACAGAATATATACAAGGTCTTTTGCCTATCGTGATCCTCCGCCTCAAAAGTCATCTTCCCCTTCTCCCTCCTCTTCCTCCCAGTCGACACTCTCAAGAGCTGCCTCGCCCTCAGCGTGCAACTTATCCAGCCCTGTGAGCTGCTCGAGGTACCCCGGCTGATTAAACGCCTTGAGCATCATCTCAAAGCCCTCTTTCTCATATGCCGATATGACCTAGATTGGGCAATGTTCAATCTCGTATCAGTCATGCGCCATGTACCGGAGCGATGTAGCGGAGGCCAGAAATGAGGAAGAGAGGAGGAAATGAGGAAAGAGGAAAAGGGTGCGCACAATTTCGCTACAGCCCGTGCACCGCTCGTACGCGGCACCAGTGATGAGGACGTTATTGAACTGGGCCAGGTAGCCTCGCAGCTGGTGGGGCACCAACCCCAACACGCTTGACTCGTCGCCCGCATCTTGCGCTGACGGATCGCGCTGGGAGCCTGATTGAGATGGTTTGGGTGATGGTGCGTGGTTCCTGTTGAAACGTGAAGAGAGGTTTTGTTTAGAACTAGGGTGACGACGGGGATTATGTGAAGATGTGCGAATTGACGTACCCTTTGGGATGCTGCAAAAGCGAAACGAGGAGCTCGACGGCGGTTGAAGACGCTATGGAAGCAAGGCCTGGTCGAGTGACTGTACACATTTGATCCAGCGTCCGATCGGTTAAGGACTTTTGGTACCCCGCGTCAACTACAGGCAATGTACGGGAAAAGATGGGATACTTACATCAGCAGGCGCGACGATATCATTGCAGTAATAACATCCCAGCTTGGGCACGTCCGCCTCGGACGTGCGCGCTCCGTGGCGCATAACAAGGTACGTGTCGAAGCCCAATGCTGCGTTGATCACGACCTGAAAAGCAGAAAGGTTACCATGCTATATAACTAGCATCTAAATAGACCAATACCTTTCCCTTGGCCTTGCCCAAGAGCGTCGGAAGCCAGCGACTCTCCCGCGAGTCCATCAGCAAAAACACAACATCGTGCTCGTCGATCAGCTTTTCCAGCTTCTCCACGTCCGCACGCGCCTGTTCGACCAGACTTGGAGGCGAGCTTGGAATAGGATGCCCGGGCATCGGAATCGACAACGTATGGCCCGTGGCGTTCTACGAAACAGTAATCAGAAAATCTTTGTGCTAAACAGATGTTCCAAGATGTGAGTTGGACGAGGATACGTACGACGCCGGGGAATACGCGCTTCAGAGCTGCAGCCGCGGCCTCGGCCTTTGGCTTTCCCCCGTTCAAGCAGTCTTCAAATTCGAAGAGTGGCTGGCGCACAGGGTTGGAGAAAGAGACGCGACCCGAGTCGACAAATGTGATGGTGCGGACGCCCCAGGCCTATTGGTCCATAGTTTCAGCAGTTGAATGGGCGGCGTGTTGATATGAGAGGTGGGAATGAACGTGCATACCATGAGACCCCGGCCAACGTAGCAGCCGAGCGTGCCTGCGCCCAACAAGAGGCACCGCGTAGACGACACGCGTTCCAAATCAAGCGAAGGGAGGATTCTCCAGCGCATGAGCTTCAGATTGAGGTCAACAGCTTGGTCAGCCAGCCTATCCAAAAAACATACGCGATCAAAAGATCGAATAAACTCGACTTGATAGGTTCTCTTACTGTGTAGGATCCATCATCGGCGCCAAATCAGCCATCCTCGGAGCCAACTTGCCCAGCGTGTTTTTCTCCCATCCCACTGCCGCAGGCCTCGCCCCGCCCTCCTCCAAGGGCGCCGAGGCACCTGGGGCCAAAGGGAGGGAGACGATCCCGAACCGGCTTTTCCACGGTTTTTCTGGGCCTGGGAGCTCGGAGTCGCGTAAACAGAGGACGGAGAGCCTGAGCGGTTGTGCGGAATGAGGGGAGAGGGAGTGGAGGTAAGAGATGTAGAATAGGGCGTTCCGAAGGGGCCATCCTGGGTGTTGAGGGTGGGCGGATGGGTCCAGGAATGCTACGATGCGCTATGTGGGGGAATGGATTTAGTAAATGGGCTGTATGTTTGGTGGTCGGGCTCACAGAAGACTGTGCGGTATTGGCAAAGAAGGTAGCATATTGGCCAAGCGGTGCCGTCTCGTATTCAGACGGAATGGATGATGGGCGAGCAAGAAAGAAGGCAGGGGTAGAAGAACCGCCAAGGGACTGAGCCGAGGTGAATATCGACTCTAACTATACAAGGCGTCGCGTCACTTCATATTTCAATGTGGCAAGACGGGAAAGAATTACCGCGCCCCTGCCCAAATTATCCTCGGCCGTCTGCCACCCCGACTCCTCGATCTCCCAAGCTGGCTTGGAGATGAACGCGGGGAACGCGAACCAATAGTAGAATTTGTATTTCTTGAGATCGGCAAAGGTTATGAGGAGGAAACGAGAAAGGTCTTTGGAAGGATCGGGCGAGGACTTGATCGAGTTCCAAATCTTTTTTCAAAGACAAGATCAAGTATCGCGTAGATGCGACGTTGATGATGAAAGGAGAGCACACCTCCTGAGCAACATCGTTGAACAGAGCTTGTTTATCAGCAGCTTTGAACTCTTCGATGGTGTTGAAATTCTTGAGAACACCGAGAGCGGAAACAGAGTGGGATGGCAGGGTGGTGGTTGCTTCGAATGCTTCGCCAGCCACAGTGAGGGTCGAGGGGAGGGGAACATCGGTGCCTGTTTCCCTGTCGGTTACAGTGCGCCCAGCAGAATACGAGGCAGAGATGGGGACGGTGTCTTGGCTGAGCTTGAGAACGTCGATCTTGAGCTTGGTGAGCGCGTGCCACAGCGAGGGGCTGACAGTGGACGTCAGCGGGTTGAACTGGACGACAGTCATTGCGGGACGAGGAGATGGTACGAATTTGAAAGGATGACTATCGATCGAGCCCAAGATATTACCAACAGTTAACGCTCAGGGGCCGGGGTTAGGGTTGGCCGTATTCGTGGGAACACCACCCCGCGACGATAACTTGCACATGAACACGACTCCCGCCGCAGTACTTCGTTCGCCATCGGTGCGCCTACGCCGCCAGCCAAGTGTACTTAAGAATCGATACACGTTGCGTATCAGGTTGGCCACTAA